CTCTGATATTAGGTACAGAATACGTAATACATTTAATTGAAAAATTAAGCATAAAAATGTTTTGCTAATTTGAGCTATCTTAATGTTACCAACAAATATTATTTTAGATAATGTTAGCCTAACAAACAATTTAGAAAGTCAATGAATAAAGAGGCATATGTTAAAAACAAACTTTCATGTAGTTACAGCTTTTCACAGCAGAGCAAGGAAGAAGTAAATGCTGTTTTAAACGGATATTCACAACATGTTAACCTCACTGTTGTCATTCTGGGAGGATCAAGGAAAATGATTCATTAAAGACTTCAATTTCACAGCCTTGTGTTATCACCTTTTGACACTTTTTTTTTTAAAGTGACAAAACTAAGAACTATCTCACCTTTAAATGCCTCACCTTTAGTGGCTGCTCTGTGAAGAATGGGACTTGAGGTTCTATGAGATAAACAGTACTAGAGCAGAACTCTATTTCTTTTTACCTGAATTTGAGAGCATTAGCTTACTTTTTGTTGTCGTTTTACTGTTTTTATTGATTTTTAGAGAAAGATGGGAAGGGAGAGAGAGAAACATCCATCAGCTGCCTCTTGCACATCCCACAACCTGGGCATGTGCAATTGAACCTGCAATCTTTTGGTGCATGCGATGAAGTTCAACCAACTGACCCACACCAGCCAGGGCTTAGCTTTCTTTTTAGTGTTACCATAAATATCTTACAAGTGCTGTGTTATTGGGTTTTATTTTCTTAATGTGTGGATAACCTCAATACCATTCTTCACAGAGCAGCCGTTGACGATATGAGGCATTTAAAGGTGAGACAGTTTAGTTTTGTCACTTGGTAAAAAAAAAAGGTGTCAAAAAGTGATAACAAACTGTGTGGAATTGGAATTGAAGTTTTTAAGGTTCTTTAATGAATCATTTTCCTTGATCCTCACAGAATGACAACAGTGAGGTTAACATGTTGTGAATATCCATTTAAAACAGCATTTATTTCTTCCTTGCTCTGCTGTGAAAAGCTGTAACTACATGAAAGCTTGTTTTTAACATATGTGGATATCATTTTTCTAGAAACTGTCTAATGGCGGTGAAATAGGACTATGAATTAGTCCACCTCTCAATCTTAAAGAGTTGGCGAAATTATTAGTCTGAACGGAGAAGCTGCCAGGGCAAGGGGAGGCTGGGCCAATTCATCAGACACAGTCAACTGGTTTCTCTCAGAAGCATTCGTCGTGCCTCGTCCAGGGCGGCAGTGGGTGCCCTGCCCAGGGCCCCTCCCGGGTTCCAGAGAGAGTCAGGCACAGCGTGGCACAGAGGCCGGGTGATTGGGATCTGAATGGTGTTTTACTTTGGGGCAGGGATGGAGGAGGTGAGGCCCTGGAGGTATGACCAGTTATGAAATGCTGGCCTTGATTTGCTTTCATAAGAAAGCATCGTATGCGGAAGGAAATGTAAAAGTGTTATTACTGTAATACTGAAAACTTAAATTGTTATAGGTTTTTAAAAACTCTGATTTGAAATAATTTCAGACTCACAGAAATTTTTCAATAATAGGACGGAAAACCTCGGATGACTTTTCATCCGGACTTAGCCACTGTTATTTTGCCACAGTTGCTCTCTCTGTCTCCACACACACATTGTCACACTGTCTTCCGAGCTCTGTGAGACTAAGTTGCACACATCATGTCCCTCAACCCCTTAGTACTTACTTCAGTGTGTATTTCATTTTCTAAGAACAAGGATATTCTTTTTCCTAACCACAGCAGTATAGAAACCAAATCCTAGAAACTCAGCATTAATTAACAAATCCATAGTCCAATTTCATCAGCTGACCCCTCATTTTCCAGCACAGACTCCATTCCAGGATGGATCACATATGCACTTAGTTCCCACACCTCCCTGGTCTCCTTCGATACGGGCAGCTGTGACAGCGGCATTGCCGAAGAACTCGGGCCCCGTATTTATGGAATGTCTCTTAGACGACGGTTGTCTACTTTTCCTTTACGAGCAACAGTTATGTCGTTTTGTAACACAACACAACATTATGACCTATGCGTCCTTTCCCGGTTATGCCCACAAAGCTCTTTGTTCCATTACAGATAATGTTAATTCTGATAAGGTAGTTAAGCTAAGGTCCAATTTCTCCACTGGATAGTTACTATTTTCTTTTGTATTAGTAAATAATGAGTAACGTGTTGGGAGAGATTGGAGATTAAATAAATAGCCTGTTCTTCATGCACTGAATAGAGTTTAATTCTAATTATTCAAAACTGCTATTTTTCCATTCCATTATTTTTTTCTATTTATTACTTTACACTTTACTAAAAGGAAAAGCATTTCCCTAGCCTGTGTGTGTGTGTGTGTGTGTGTGTGTGTGTGTGTGTGTGTGTCTTAGGTCTTTGGGTTATGTCAGAGATCGGTTCCTACAATGCAACATAACAAGATTTTCGCTGTAAGTTGGAACCCACCTACGTCACTCACATGGAGCACAGACATAGCAGTAATTAAGTGAAACAGTAAAAAAATTTAAAAGAAAGATAACAATTCCTGACCTTTACTTGTGGTAAATTAATAATAAAAATCATAAAACACATATGTCAAAATGACAGCACTTTTTAAAAAAATATAAATAAAAGGGAGATGGCGACATAACCCAAGGACTGCCTGTATGTATATATTTATATATATTTATATATATTTATATATATTTATATAAATACTTAGTTATCCAATAATATCACGATAAACTGATAGGTTTTCCCCATCTCCCCCATGAATGGATTCTGTTACAGTGCTGTCCTTATTTAATTGGTGCTCAAATCTGATGTCTCAGGTTTGGCAAGTGGGACCGCCTCAAGCGGGCTCCAGCATCGCCGTGGCATGGCCCTCAGTTACGGAGCGCTCCCTTTATTCTTTCCATTAGATGGTCCAGGTCATCTTGCACTGCCTTACCCTGCATCGGGGACCCATCTTTCTCTAAAGAGGCTGGGCCCCATTTGTGAGCAAAAGTATTTAGAAACCAGATCTGGGCATTGAGTGTGCTCAGTGTTCCTGGGATGCCACTGCTTCCGATTTCTTTCAATGGACAGAGCTAAGATACATGCACATACACACATGCTTATTAAATCATACGTTTATGCTAATAACTCTAATTCCAATCCAACCCCTCCTCCCCCAGGGCTCTTCCTTGTCTTCCCCTTGTACTGTATTTTTATTTTCCTTCTTCAACAGTAAGATCAAGCTATTTCCTTATTTGCTCAAATATACAATACATACAACATAATTTCAGAATTCTATACATGTACCACTACTGAAAAAATAAACCCACAAAGAGTTTAAGATTTCTTTGCAGTTCTTTTTTTCTTTTCTATTTATTATTATTATTTTAAAAAATCCTCACCCAAGGCTATTTTTTCCATTGATTTTTTTTTTTAGAGTGTGTGTGTGAGGCATAGGGGGAAGGGGAGAAGGGAGAGGGAGAGAAGGAGAGAGAAAAGGAGAGAGGGAGAGAGTGAGAGAGAGAGAGTGAGAAAGGGAGAGAGGGAGAGAGTGAGAGAGAGAGAAGTATCAATGCGAGAGAGACACATAGATTGATTGCCTCCCTCACATACCCCGACCAGGTTTGAGGACTAAATCTCTAACCCAGCCATGTGCCCTTGACAAGAAACTGAACCTGTGACTCTTTGGTCCATGTGCCGTCGCTCCAACCACTGAGCCACACCAAACATGGCAGTTCTATTTTTCTTTAGACAGAAGGCATATTATGTTCAAACGTTACTGTAAATAATTCCCCCCTCCCCTATGATTATGTTATTCATTTAAAATACAGTTGGATCATTCTTTTCTGTTTCTTTTTGGTTTTACTGTTGTCCTAATCCATTTGCTTTTTGAATAGGTAATACATTCATCTGACTCTAAATCAAAACCATACAAAAGGGGTACTCAGAAAAGCACCATTCCCTCCTCATCCATGTGCCTTCTTCTCTCCCTCTCTCCCTTTGCAGGGAACCAACTGCAATGGTTTCTTGTATATATGAGGTATGATAGATCTTAAAATAAATGATCATAATGTATTTATTTTCAAATCATGCCTTCCTCAAACTCTTAAGACTCAGAGTGGACAAAAAAGCCCAAAGTATCTATCATTGTTACAGGTGGGGTTAACTACTGTCAAAAATCTCTGAATTTATATGCTCGACTAGAGGCCCGATGCACAAAATTCGGGCACAGAGGGGGGGTCCCCTCAGTCCAGCCTGCACCCTCTCCAATCCGGGGCCTCTTGGGAGATGTCTGACTGCTGGTTTAGGCCCGATCCATGGACAGTTAGACATCCCTCTCACAACCCTGGACCGCTGACTCCCGATTGCTCACTGTTTGCCTGCCTGGTTGCCTCCAACTGCCCTACTCTGGCCTGGTCACCTTTAACTGTTCCCCCCTTGCTGGCCTGGTCCCTCCCAATTGCCCATCCCTGCCAGCCTAGTAGCCCCTCACTGTGCCCCCCTGCCAGCCTAAGCACCCCCAACTCCCCCCCCCCCGCCTCCAACTGCCCCCCCCCCCCAAGCTGGCCTAGTCACCTCACACAGCCTGCTGTTCAGTTGTTTGCTCATCTCTCACTAACCTGGTTGCCCCAAGCAGCCTACTGTTCAATCGTTTGGTCATTCCTCACTAACCCCCCAGCAGGCCTGGTTGCCCCACGCAGCCTGCTGTTCAGTAGTTTGGTCATCCCTCACTAACTTGGTTGCCCCAAGCAGCCTACTGTTCAATCATTTGGTCATTCCTCACTAACCCCCTTGCCAGCCTGGTCGCCCCATGCAGCCTGCTTGTTCAGTCATTTGTTCATTCCTCACTAATTCCCCTGCTGGCCTGGTCATAGGCAGCCATCTTGTGAGAGCATGAGGGTCAATTTGCATATTACCTCTTTATTATACAGGATTTCTTTCAAGTGTAGTTCACTTAAACTGCTTGAAGTTTGAAGCAATGGTTTAGAATAAGTCCCGGGTGTTACTGATTACCTGTTCCTCAGAAACCTCTAGAGGAGGGGATGCTTGTTGTTCAGACCGCCGACCTTCCTGATAGTTTATATTTCGTCGTTGACGTAAAGGAGGGAAAAGTCGATTCCAGTTGATCATTCCTCCCTAAAAAAAGATCAATAGACAATGGTCAGACACAGAGGAGCAGAACTGTCATAACGCCTAAAAGAGCTTTCTCTTGCAATGTTGTCACATAAATAGACTGAGAAAAACAATGTCATACTGATCTGCAGTATGCAAGCAATCTACACCCTAAAGTATCGCACCATCCTTCAATCATTAGGTAAAATCAATAGAATGCAGGAGTACAGACAGAAAAGAAGGTAACGAGTCCCGCCCATGTTAAATGTGCAATTGGCTCCAGGAGGCAGAGACATCCCCAACTTCAGCCCCACTGTGTCCCCTCTGCCTCCGTCCCATCTACTGTCCCCCCTTCACCAACTCTGAGGAGCTTCCTGGGTGTGATGGAAAAGAAGGCCTGGAGAGGAGGTGAATTCACTGCAGGCAACCAAAACTGGACTTTCTTCAGCAGCTCTTTAAAATGCTCTTCTTCTTCATATTCAAGTAAATTCTGTGCATACTCAGTGGAGGGAGACTGCAGGTGGAGATAAAACCCAGGCTGAGGGACAGGCTAGGGAATGTGAAGGTAGCCCTCACACACAAGGACAAGAGGCTCAGACGCAGGATCAGAGCTGTCCCCCTGAGTGGCTCCATGGATAATTTAAGATGGATGGCAATGTCACGTCTTGCTTATTCTACGTTATCAATGAAAAAACAAACAAACAAACAAACAAACAAAAAAAAAACACCATGTGAAGGAAAGCACTATATGATGCTTTTAAAAAAAAAATATTTTTAACTAAATGGCAATATTTTATTTATTTATTTTAAAAATATATTTTATTGATTTTTTTACAGAGAAGAAGGGAGAGAGATAGAGAGCTAGAAATGTCGACGAGAGAGAAACATCGACCAGCTGCCTCTTGCACACCCCCTACCGGGAATGTGCCCACAACCAATATAAATGCCCTTGACCGGAATCGAACCTGGGACCGTTCAGTCCGCAGACCGACGACGCTCTACCACTGAGCCAAACCGGTTTCGGCAAAATGGCAATATTTTAATTTATCAAATTAAATATCTATTTCTAGATTTAAGAAAAAATACAGATTAAGACAACCTGAAATTTTACAATAAGAATATTTTGTAAAAAACTAAAAAATATTTCCCATGTATTGCTGGCCGTAAGATGAAGCAATGGAGGCCTGAGGTGCCAGAAAGAAGCTGGGGGAATCAGCAGCAGCAGGCAAGCCAGCTTCCAAGGACAGGGGTGTAAGAGTGAACACCTCCTGCCAACACAGAGCCTCTTGGGTTGTACCTCCTATTTGGGTCTGAAAGAGGTAGTGATTTTGAGCTCACTCCCTAGTTATAGGCATAACCCTCAAATGGCAGCACCCTCAGTGAGAGAGGACAAGAAAAACTAACCAAAAGCTGACCTTCCGTAGCGAGAGAGCAGGAATCGTGGCCTGCGTGAAACTTGAGAAATGAGGAATTTAGGTTTCCAGTTGAACTACACATGTGCTCTAAAAACCCATAAATTGGTCCTGGGATAGAGACGGACATAAATAAGGAGCCAAGCAGAAGCAAATATAAAATTACTCTGGAGACACACCTTCCTAGCCTGGGACTATATGTGCTTTACAGATATAACTCAGTGGGGAAAGATTCAGAATTCAAAATCCATCACAAGCAAGAGTCATTGTGTACAATAAGTAAGAGGATTAGGCCCTCAAGAACCTAACTTTAGAATAATCTTAAAACAACTTTAAAATCAGAAACATCCTATGTGCCCATCCATCAGCAGATGGTTGGATATAAGATACAGATGAAGACTAAGATACAGAGGAAGACTTAAAAAGTACATTATAAATTATTTTTGAAAAAAAAATGAGAAAATTAAAAAATAAATATATTACACAAAAAATTTTCTGGAGAAATACAGAATTAAATAAAATATATTAGTGATCACTATAAATATACATGGACAAAATCACCAACTCAAAGGCTGAGATTCTCAATTTTGCAATCTCTCCTATCCTATCCCAACCCCAACAAAAGACAAACTAAAATATAAAGACACAGACAAGTTGGTGTAAAGAGATGGAAAAAGGAATATCAGGAAGGTACTAACCAAAGCAAGCTGATGTTGCTATATTCATGCCAAATAAATAGACCTCATGGATAAAAAAGGCATTGTTAGGGATAAAAATCAGTAGAATACATTGATTTTTTAAATTTTATTTATTGTCTAAAATTTTACATATGTCTCCTTTTCCCCTGCTCAACACCTCCTTCCCCCAGCCCAGCCATTACCACCCAGGGCAAGCCCTCACCACCCCAGTGTCTGTGTCCATTGATTATACTAGCATGCCTGCATACAAGTTCTTTAGTTGCTCTCTAATCCCTCCCCCACCTCACCTGCCACTTGTCTCTGAATCTGTTTTTGTTCATCAAATTATGTGGATCATTATATCCTACATGAATGAGATCATGTGATATTTATCTTTCTCCCACAGGCTTATTTTCCTTAGCATAATGCTCTCCACAGTTCCACTCATGCTGTTGCAAATGGTAAAAGTTCCTTCTTTTTTATAGCTGTGTAGTAGATATATCACTGTTTTTTAATCCGCTCATTTGCTGATGGGCACTTAGGTTGTTTCCAAATCTTAGCTATTATAAATTGTGCTGCTATGAAGATAAGAGTGCATATATCCTTTCTGATTCATGTTTCTGGTTTCTTGGGATATATCCTAGGAGTGGGATTACTGGGTCAAATGGGAGTCCCATTTTTAATTTTTTGAGGAAACTCCATACTGTTTTCCACAGTGGCTGCATCAGTCTGCATTCCCATCAGCAGTGCACAAGAGTTCCTTTTTCTCTGCATCCTCGCCAGCACTTGTCATTTGTTGATTTGTTGATGATAGCCATTCTGACAGGTGCAAGATGGCATCTCATTGTTTTTTTGATTTGCATCTCTTGGATGAATAGTGACTTTGAGCATATTTTCATATATCTCTTGGCCTTCTGTAAGTCCTCTTTTGACAAGTGTCTATTTAGGTCCTTTACCCATTTTTTTATTGGATCGTTTTTTCCCTTTTGTTAAGTTGTATGAGTTCTCTGTAAATTTTGGAGATTAAACCCTTATCTGAAATAGCATTGGCAAATATGTTCTCCCATGAGTGGGCTTTCTTATTGTTTTGTTGATGGTTTCTTTTGCTATGCAGAAGCTTTTTATTTTTATGTAGTCCCATTTGTTTTTCTCCTTAGTCTCCACTGCCCTAGAAGCTGTATTGGTAAAGATATTGCTACGACATATGTCTGCTATTTTGCTGCCTATAAAGTCTTATAGTTTTATGGTTTCCTGCTAAGGAAAAAAAGTAGTATCTATAACATACAAAGTACACTTAAAAATAATGAGAAAAAATAAATGATTCAAGAGAAAAATGGATAATGTATATGAAAAGACACTTTCCTATACATTAGAAGAGGAAACCCCGAGTCAATAAACAGAAGATGTTGAACCTCACTAATAGCAGAAATGTACATTAAACAGCAATAAGTAATTTCATATCTACAGGACTGGCAAAAATAAAAAGTCTAATAATACCAAGTTATGGGAATGAAGAAATTGGAACTCTACATATTGTTGATGAGATTATATACTGGCACAAAATTTTGGACAGCAATGTATCAAGATCTAGTAAAATTATGACCCAGCAATTTCATTTCTAGGTAGCTATCAGTTCCTAATGGGGCAAGTCCATAATTAGGGAAACAAACAAGTGGTTCTATTACATAAAATATTATTATATGAACAGCAAGAATCTAGATGCACATGGGTAAATATAAAAAATACAATGTTGAATAAAGTTATATAAGAATATGTATATACAATAACATTTATATAAACTTTAAAATACTTAGAACAATAGTTTATTTTTTAAACTATCTAATGGATATACATTAGTAATGATTTGCCCTTCTACAGGGGATACTTGACATTTTTTGTTTTCTTGTGTGTGTGGGTGGGGGGAGGAGGAGTATAGGTGGGGGACCGGGTGGTGATGCTGCTGGTATCTGCTCAGCATCCCATAAAACACACGATAGACCCCAAAACAAAGAATGGCCTGGGCCAAAATGTCCACAGTGTCTAGGCTGAGAAACCCTGACACACACATGTGGTAAGATGCAAAGGTGCGTAGGCATTAAACAAGACACACATGCTTCAGGACAGTGAGAAGGGGAAGGAACCTTTGAATCTGTAACATTTCATTTCTTCAAAGGGAGTGAGAGTGAAAGAAAAGGCAAAACAAAACCCCAATTTCTCTACTCCTGTGATAGTAAAAAACTGCTGAAAAGGCAGAAGGTCACAGGAGCTCTAGGATGTTTTGACACTCACCTGCTCTTTAGGGTTAAATGTGAGCCTCTACAAACAGGAAACATTTCCTTTACTTTGTCTTCTTCAAAAGCAATAACCACATATTTAAAAGAGGAAAAAGGAAATAGCTTGCATTTTGAACAGCCGTTTTATGAAATATCTATTAGTTGGTAAAACAGATTTTCAAATGAAAGAAATCTTTGTGAGAAAATAAATGGCTGGTTTTCCAACAGGGCAGGAAGCATTTGTAACACTTTATCAAGTAGAAGTTACTGGAACTCCATCACTAAAGGCTTTGGCAGCTGTGGGAGGATCAGGCAATGTCTACACTGAGAAGTGTCTGCACCATGAAGCTGGGACAGAAGAGCTCTCTAGTGGCTTTCTGGGGCTCACAGCTCCCACAGGAGGGTAGGAGCAAGGTGCACAGTCTAGTCTTGATCACAGGGGGCTCCTGATCTCCTGGGGAGAAGGCAATACATGCAGAAATAAAACAGTCTGCACATGAGATGGTATATAATGAAGAAAGAAGCTGTGAGGCATCAGGTAAAGAGCTAGAAAGGCTCAGAATGGGCATCGACCAATTGTAGCCGAAGCACACAGGTAAAACTGCAAAAGATGGGCACTGAGCTGAATTTTAGAGGATGAGGATGATTTCAACAATGGAGAG